GCTAGTCCACAAATCTTGCTATTTATTCATGTGAGTTGTACAATATGAGCACACACTGCCGAACAATCAGACCTCCCCTGTGTGAAGTGTGTCCTCAATTACCCATTGCAACATTGTTGCGAACGGTAATTGACAAGTTAAGTAGCCGCCCTTTGTTCTCGGGGGTGGCCGCCATAAGACAAACGAACACGTTTGGCCATTTTAAAACTCCCGAACAGCGGTGTTTTGCCGTCGAGTGTCTGGAACTCAAATCGGACACTCGACTAGGCGAACACCGCTGAAACCTCCACAAGCGCGGTCCGTTCGGTTCCTAACTACCGAACGGCCCCTCGTTCGGTAGATAGAAAGAACCGAACGAGGGGATTCAGGCGAACCCTCCCTAGCCTCTATAGCTAGAGGCTTTCGTGCAGTTTGTTCCCTTATTCCAGGACCGACCGCAGGGCCCATTCGCATGGAACCGCATTCGGCTATCTCAGTCAGTGCGGTCGGTCATTTTATTCCCTCCATAAATTTCCCGAACCCCTGGTCTGATCTGGGTGATTTTTGGATATGTTGTTCACCCAGATCAGGGCTATCAGGGGATGTAGGATTTAAAGGGGTACCCCTACATTTAGGGGTACATCCAGAAACGGGGGGAATTGCTAGACTGGATAAGGGGATTATGATGCAGGCTGAGGGGAGGAGATGTGTGGGAGGTTACCAGGACAGGATTGGCTACTGTACTAATGATTGTAAATCCCTCCCTTGCATGGGAGCATACTTTAAAAGGACAGTGTGGATTAAAGATTTCAGTTCTGCTCCTGAAACTGTGTGTCGTCCAGTTATTGGGATTGCTGTTGGGATATTGCTGTTATTTTACCTGCTGGAAACCTTGCCTGTGGATTTACCATTTACTTGTTCCTGAGCCTCACTTGGATTATAAGCGGAGATAACCTGGGGAATATTGCATCTCCGCTACAACTTATTTCATTCATGGACATGCAAATCAATTTATAACTTTTTTTCATGTGTTTTTCTGGATTATTTTTTGTTACTCTGTCTTTCACTGTTAAAATACACTTACCATTAAAATTATAAACTGATCATTTCTATGTCAGTGGGCAAATGTTCAAAATCAGCAGGGGATCAAATACTTTATTTATCTCACTGTATATACTGTTTGTATGAGTGTGTGTGTATAGCAGTGTGTCGCTGTCTAAATGTGTATAACAGTGTGTGCATACTCTTGTCTGAGCGTGTCAGTGTCTGAATGCTGTGAGTGTGTGTCTACTATGTCTGTGTATATTATTGTGTGTATATATAATATATAACAATGCGTGTACATACCTTTTTATAACAGAGATGGATATTCTGGTTCTATTTCTCTTACCATTCTACAATCTGACTGCTGGATGGATGGGTGAGGCCATCTTAACAGCATTATAGGCCCCCAGGCAGAGCAGTGCACTGAGCCCTGGCTACAGACCCACTCACAGGAATAAAAATGTAAATTATCAATACAATTAAGCTTATATGTATTGGTGCCTCCAACACAATGAGTGATTAAACATTGTAGGGTCAGGAATACAGACGTGTATTCTTTATCCTTTAGTGTTAAAAACACTATTTATGTGGCCTCCTCCCCCTTGCTATTACTAAATAGGGTAAAAACTCACCTTTATTCCAGCGCTGCGTGGGTCTGCCAGCACTGGCCCCGTCCCCAATACGTCATCTTGGCTGACATCATCACAATTAACGATCTTAGCCAAAGTGGGGCATGGCACCAAAGGGCGTACTGGCTAATAAGTATCTCCTCATGAATTGAATAAATGCATCTCTATGGGGAAAGCTTAGCATCTCCATGCAGAGGATGGAGACACTGAATGTCAGTGCCCAGAAAGCACCTCTAGTAGCCATCTAAGTGACTATTCCCTGTTCCTACATGACACAATCAAAGAGTGTTCTAGAACAGCTCTAAAGGGTCTGCCTCCCTAGAAATCTTTTCATTATGGTGTCAACTTACTGCCTCCTCCACCTTCACGTTTTCATGAACATTCACAAAAAGATAACATTGTGTGACTGAGTGACAGACATTCTTAGCCTGATAGTCAGTGCAGGTAACAGCAGCTAGCTCATCTTCTTCATCACCAGATAAACGGAGGTACGGAAAGATCACCCCAATAAGTCCTAATGAGCAGGACATGGTTTTATCTTTTAATTCCCATAAAACAAGTATTTCTATATGTACCTGTATTATTTATATATTTTTATCTCTTGTAATAAATGGATCTTTTTATAGTCTATATTTACCATGGACCAACTATTTCTGATCTGTTACACACATTAAAAGGGACACTATAGGCACCCAGACCACTTCAGCTCATTGCAATGGCCCTGTCCCCTTAGTCCTACAATGTAAAACATTGCTGTTTTGGGGAAATGGCAATGTTTACATTGCTGTAATAAGACTGGCTCTAGATTAGAGACTGGTCCACTATCCTCTCTACAAGGTTCTGTTACAGCGCTCATGATAGCTATCACAGAGCCATACAATGGGGGGGTGAAGAGTGTTAAAAGTGGGGGGAGCGGCAATATGCATCTTTCCCTGTGTAGCAAAAAATCATTGCACCAGCAAATGTATAAAAATTTGTTTTTATGCTATTAATAAAGTTTAAACTTAGAAATATAAACATGTTTCCTGGGTTTGTTTAGTGTTCGCTTATTACTTTAATTTGTATCTTTTATTGTGTTTGAAAAAAATAAATCCTAATATTTGCAACAAACCCACAAGGGGAAATTTAACAGCAAAGTTTGCAAAATGCAATAATTCACAATTGTGTTAGAGACTACAAGTGGGCCTCATTCAAAATTGATCAAGGTTTCTCAAGAGAGAAATCATTGCATTCTGTAAATGCCATCAATGTAATTGATGCCTGTAGCGGCACTGTCAACAACCCCTGAAAAATGAGTATTTCATACAGGTTGAATCTTTTTGAAATACTCATCTCTCAGAGAGAGAAATTCCAACCCTAGTTAAGAGATATGCAGAGACAAAGCAGGTTCTAATTTTTCTCTGTATTTCTCCTCAGTCTGACTTCCTTACACTCAAGGTGGGGTCTAAGGGTCAATCCTGACAGTCGTTACCAGTGCTGGCTGCAGAGAATTGAGTGTCTATGGAGGATCCGACGATGTTGTGGGATCCTCCGTAGACCTCACTGATGTATTTTTATGCATGCGCAAGAGTACAGCAGTGATGTCTGCTCCTGACGATGAAACACTAGGAGCTGAAGGGGAGCAGTACAATCGAGATGACGGCGCCTACATGGGACAGGTTCAGTTAAGTAATTCTCATCTTTCCTACCCCCCACGGCCACCGTACGAGCATCAGCAATGTCACTGTCTGGGGATTTTGTGAATTCGGCAAAATGCACAGACATTGACAGTGCCGCCTAGCCATTCACAATATACATTGTACACTTTGAAACACTTACCACGACACAGATGTCACTGTAGATACACAAACAAAATTTGAAGAAAATGTGTTGTATTCTTAAAAAAAAAAAAAAATAATAACCACAAAAAAAAACAAAGAACTCACAATATACAATAATGAGGTTGAAAAGGAGAAATGTTGGTAATGAACTTTATTTTTCATAAAATATATAAATTCAGGCTGAATATTAACAATGCATACTTGGTAATAAAATGCATAGATAAAGATTATAAGCCATATCAATGGCATTATAATCGTGAAGTTTAATAACACTGACATATGCATTGTCTGGGAAATGTGTACCAATAGCATTAACAGCACATGACGGAATGGGCCTGCGATTCCTTCGTCATAGGTAACCGAGAATCCAAGTTGTAAAGCCTCAGGATGCTGTCCTCCGCATTTACCTACATAGATAAACCTGGGTAAGTTTTTTAAAAACAAGATGTCGAAGAATAACAGGTTATGACACAGTTGTATATAGCATGGAAAATACAAACGCAAAATATTACTTATGTTGTCTTAGTATATTTTTAAAACACAAAGGGAGGGAGGGGGTAAAGGTGAGTTTACTTACCTGAACCAATCCCTTATGGATCCCAACATCTTTCTCGGTCAGCTCCTCTTCAACTCCTGGCGCAACAGACCTAACAGTCGGTTACAATATCGAACCCAGCCAGGGCCGGCCTTTGGGGCGCCATGGCAGCAGGTGGCGCCATACGGCTAACATAGCTCAAACATGCCTAGCTGTGAAGTGGGTTCTAAAGCAAGTACGGCTACCCGGGTGCAAGATTTTTATAATTCTTTACACGGGGCTATCAAAGAAAACAACAAGGTAGCAGGGGCAGGGCAAATAGCGCCCAGAAGCCGATGCCTGGTAACTGCTGCACAGGTAGGAATCCCTACTTTCCCAAAAACTATCAGACTCCGGGAACTGCACTGACTTTACTCCTCCCTGGAACGAGGTAACTGTGTGTGTGACTGTCTGCCTAAAACTGTGTGTGTCTCTCTGTGTGTATGTCTGCCTGTAACTGTGTGTGTGACTGTCTGCGTGTAACTGCATGTGTGTGTTACTGTCTACCTGTAACTGTGTGTGTGACTTTCTAATTGTGTGAGTGTGTGTGTCTATCTGCCTGCAACTGTATGTGTGACTGCCTGTCTGTAACTGTGTGTGTGTTGCTGTATGTGTGAATGCCTTCCAGTACCTGTGTATGTGTGTGACTGCCTGTGCCTGTGTGTGACTGCCTGTACCTGTATGTTTGACTATATACCTGCAACTGTGAGTTTGACTGTGTGCCTGGGACTGTGTGCATGTTGCAGTATATGACAAAGTATATGTATAAACTGTGCAAATGACTGTGGGACTGTGTGCATGTGACTCTGCAAAAATATACACATGGGCATACATGCATATTTTTATCTGAATGAAATACTCATCATACACAGTACACAACCAATAAACCCATTACAAATATCACACACAAACAACACACACTTTACATCATATTTAGTGATATGCAATATTGTGATGGGATTCCAGCATGGTTAAAATTTAGTAGGCCAAAATCTCCATGTGGCATATGTGTATGTTGTGTCAGTTGGTTAGCTACATGTAGCTAGGATACGGTCATCAGTGTACTGAGCATGTGCAGGAATGCAGGAACTGAAATTGCACTTATTTCCTTTGTCTTGGATGGGCCATGTGGTTTGACTAGATGTACAAGTATATATTCTGCTCATTGATTGGTTAAAGGTATATGTGGGTGTAGCTATTAATGGGAGGAGTTATGTGCCTATATAGGGAGCCTGCACTATTGTTCAGGGCTCAGAACTTGCTGTATTTTTGGTGACATTAGTCCCTCTGAGTCCCGACCGGTGATCCAATAAAGAATCTCTTCCTTCCTGAAGAAACCTGTGTCCATCCCTCTGTGCTTTGCTTCCGTCAGTTTCTCCGGTATCATTTGGTGCATTGGCCGGGAAGCTCATCGTTCAACGGTAGCTGAGAGGCAGAGGCGTGAGACGGTCTATCTTTGCCCACGCTCTCTACGGCTGCACCCCTGAACTTCTGCGTGGACCTCCCTTCGTCTCGGCGCCACTGGTCTGTTGTCCAGGAGATCATCGGCCTCTACGTAAGAAGTGCTGGGGTGTCCCCGCCGATGAGTGTGAACTCAGGTTCAGGAACGAGGAGGTAAGACAACTGCTGTTTTAGACGGCAGACCCACTAGGGGTATACCGATTGTGCGGTAGGCCAAAAAGGGGTTTAAATCTGTGTATGGAATCTGCCCCCTCTGTCGGAGGGAAGGAGCGAAGGCGCACCGCTCGATCGAACGCTCTTTAGTAAGACCGCTTTGATCTGGTTAGTCAGGCGGGGTCCTGTGTAAATAGCCCTAGCCGGACACCGGTGTCTTGTCTAGACTAGCGTTCTAGGGTGTATATTACGTTCGCTAGGTCGGAGGGACCGAGAGACTAAGCGGCGCCTGTGTAAATTCGGTTCGCTAGCTCTCAACCTATCTTGGCTAAGTGGGAAGGCGTGTAAATTTGGAACCCACTAGACTTTTGATAGAGTAAATAGACTAGAAGGGCAATTTTGTAAATTTTGCCCTCTAGTTCGCTATATGTGGTGTTTGGGCAGTGTGGCTAACCAAAACGGGTGTATATAGTTTTAGGTAGTCTATTCAAGGTACTGGCCAATAGTTTAGTTGGGATTATTGTAAATGTTGTTAAATATATTGTAGTTGGTGAATTGGTTAACTTGTATGTCCTACTAGAAAGTTAGAGCTCTGCTGTCTAGTGGGAGTGTAAATTGTGTGTATAACTGTAAAATAGCGCACGGTACCATAACTACTGACATGTACCATAACCACTGACATTGTGTAAAATTACTAACAATTGCTGTTTTATGTTATATGTATAATACCATAACTGTTACTAACTGATCTGTGACTTTAAAACTGTATTATAACCACTTACTAACTGTACCATAACCACTGACTGTAAAGATGAGGTTACTAGAATGTGATATAGTTGGTTAGTCAAAAGTTGATTTATAGTACAGATAATTGTAGAGATGAATTTGTTGAAATGTTATGTGATCGGTTAGTTTATATGGATTAATAGCGTGGATAGTTGTATGGTTTGAATAATAGTTACATTGATAAGTGTATAGTCTTTGGTGGGGTTTTGATTTAATTTTGTGTGTGCGACGTCGTGATATTGTTGAGCATGTGAGGATCCTGTGTGTGTGTTTGGGCCTAGTGACTGCGCAATGTGTTGCTGGTGATAAGGAGATTGGTGTGACTGTTGAAACTGTGTATATTTGTACAGCTTTTTGAATCAGATGCTCTGTTGAAATAATCTTCTGATTCACAAGGCTTTGTCTTGTATGTTTAAAAAAAAAAAAAAAAGTAGGGAGTAGCTTGTCCTGGTGGCCGCATGGCCTCCATGTAGCAGTCTTCACTTAAATTTAGTGCAGGGTGTACATGTGGCTGTAACTAGTAGGCTGGAATTCTATGATCAGTTTCTATATATTGACTGTTGAAAACTGATTGTTGCCTTGGTGAATTAAACTGTGTCATATGGGAAACAATGTAGCCACATGGTGGTCAGAACTAAGGACTTAATTACAACTGCTTTGGATATCCCCTCCCCCCCCCTGGCATCTGATTACCAACCCCCCAAACATCCTCCAGAGCCAGATTAGCCACGCCCATTTCTGGCTGGTATAATCAGTATTTGCACTCCCCCTGCTCTACTGTCCCCGCCTACCCACATACCTATCTGTTCCTGTGTTTCAAACTCTTGTATTTCTGTACTACCCCTCCCCCTAATCAATGATCAATGGTATCAAATGGTATATTGGTTTTTTTAGTTACTGGATGGGCCCCTCCCAGCTTTGTCCAAAATGTCCCCTTTTACTAAACTACAAACTGAAATGTTTAATTTACCTTAGAACTAAAGATTTAATCAAGCCTAGCTAGCAGGGTGGGCATTGATTAAAATAAGTAATAATAAAATAGGACATAATTAATTAAAGTCTATTTGTTTCATTTGACTTTAGGGAGGCACTCTAAGCCACCTACTGGCCATCTTCGGGAGTTACATTGATAATACATTGTTTATAACAGATAGATGTGGGATTGCTTACCCTATTTTAATATATTTATTGCTATAAGGTTTTATTTTATGTATAAATATATTAAAAGTTGAGTTTTCTTATTAGACCCATAAAGATTATTTTGATACAATTACCCTCTGGTGACACCTACTGGTAGGTTTTTGGTTTAACACTTTAAAAAAAAAAAAAATAAAAAAAAAAAGTTTTTTCATCCACCAAATGCTGACTAATAAAATTATCTTACTACTCCTAGACTGGAACCTATTATTGGGCAGCCTTGCCGAAGTCCCATATTAGACACTGCTTGAGTCAAATAGGTTGTATACTCCCTTTAATCCAGAGGCCCCTGAAAACTTCCAAATGATAGACTCAGCATTTGTCAGCCAGGCCCAAGGTGATAGTAAAAGGAAATTAAAGAAAATTAGAGGGATTTGTAGGGATGTCCATAATACAGCTAATGGAGATTGCAAATACAGTATATATGAATAGGGAGATGGAGGAAGAACGTAAAATGAGGAAAAAGGCAGATATGCTAGCGGTAGCTATCTTAAGTGTAGAAAGACAGGGAAGTGAATAAAGGAGACGAGAATAGGCTGAGCAAGGGACTTTAAGTAGGAATTAATGTGCGTATTGTAGAAAGGAGGGACATTGGAAGAGTGAGTGTCCACAGAGAGAGCAGTATGAAGGTGATAGATAAGGAGAGAGAAGGGTACGAGGAGGTTATAGTGGTAGTTATAGAGTAAGAGGAAGTTTTAGAGGGAATGGTGGGAATAGTAGAGGAAGTGTTCAAGGAGACAGATACTATCCACCCACGCAGAGACCTAGAGAAAGAGAGGATAGAGATTTTGTGGGTCTGGCTGACACTATCATGGAAGACTATTGATACCGACTGGGCTCCATCCCACTTGGTCGAGCGGAGCCTATGGTCGATGTAGCAATAGGGGGGAAAGAGAAGTTCTTTCATGATCGACACAGGTGCTGAACATTCTGTGGTGAAGCATTAGTTCCTATATATGCCAGAGTGTCCGATTCAACTTTTAGGACGAGATCTATTATCGAAGCTTTAAACTCAGATAACCTTTTACCTAATGGATTAACATCTCTGAAGTTTAAGGGATTACCAGGCATAATGGTGATATCGGTGCCGAGGGAAGAAGAATGACGCTTCTATTCCATAGTGACAAGTGTTAACCCTAAGAGTGATGAATCCTTACTTGACATTCCAGGAGTATGGGAAGAAAATAATCCTCCAGGACTTGCTCGTAATATCCCACCAATACATATCGAGTTAAAGCTCGGGGTGTATTCTGTTAGCCTTTGTATGTTGTTCTTTTATCTACCCCAACAGCTGTAAAGGTGGCGGAAGTGACTCCTTGGATTCATCATTCTAAGGTTAAACCAGCAGCAGACTCTTGGCAAACTACTCCAGATCCTGAGAATCCTTGCAGGACCCGGTTGAAGCGTGCAACTCAGTCGGAGTGACGAGGGGATATTGAGACATTCTAATTAAAAGTCTACAAAGATCATCAAGTAGGTGTTTTGACGGCCATAATAAAGCCTGACCACCTGCCTACGTGTCATAGCCAGAGTATCTTGAAGGGATCTCTGTGAAGGAAAGTGAGGATCAGAAGAACAACATCCTTGCAGCCCACACAATCGGGAAGCTGAGAGGCCATCGCACGGTCGAAGAAAAATGAGGATTTCAGGAATAATGTGTTTTATTGTGTCTTAGTATTTTTATGATTTTTCAGGAAGGTAGGAGTACAGACATACCGAATTGCGATAAGTTGCATTAAGACTACTAAAACAGGTAACCAAATATCCCAAACTCTCATCTGGCACTCACAGTATGAATGTAAGGGATCTGTATCTAGATGTAGATATTTGGATATTGATTATAGTGTGTGCAAGCCAATATCAGGAGAGTCTAAATGTTTTGATCCCCATTTCCAACCCCGTACAATTTGGTTGGTAATTCGGAATAGTAACTCCCAGGGGACATTAATAAATAGGACTGTGATAAATACCATACATTCCGTGGGTATTCTACTATTTGATGCATGTAAGGCGATTTCGGGTGGTGGAAGACTTTGGAATGTATGTGGTAATCTTAAATGGGAACGAACTTATGGGTTTAATGATAAATACTTATGTCCCAGTATAAGATCTACTGATCCTGATTGCCCAAATAGAGACTAACTATTTGTCATGTGTAGGTTGGGCAACCTGGGAAAAACAGTGGATCAAGATATGATTATCCAAAGGTTGCCTACCACACCATACTGTAAAACTATGTGTGTAACCCCGTTCACATGACCATTTCCAATCTGCAGTACTTTATTGACAGGCTTGGAGGTCTGTTTGGGTTTCAAATATATGGCACAGGAGTAGATTCAGGAACAATAATATATGTAGGTCTTGAAACTGAGACAGTGGCAACTCAAACTCATCAGGTTTCTCATTCCTTCTATGAGGAGATGAGTATTGAGGATAAAATTCCCCATAATGTTAACAACTTATTTATTGATTTGGCTGAGGGTATTGCAGGTAGTCTTAATGTAACTAATTGCTATGTGTGTGGAGGTACTAATATGGGAGACCAGTGGCCATGGGAGGCAAAAGAAATATGGTACCCTGGCTCTGAGACATATGAACAACAGATACCTTTCCAGTCTGATCATCAAGTAAGTACTAGAAGTAAATTGGAATGGTGGTTAAAAACCTCCATTATAGGTCATGTTTGGATAGCCAGGAAA